CACCCATAATTGTTTTCTTCTATTCTGATGCAATATTACATATTGGTTAACAGCATAATGACCGTCAATTTTTAATAATAAAATATACGTATCATGGATTTTCAGAAAATGTGACTAGCATGGGTCTTCAAGCATGTAGAACTTCAAAGTCACACCTTGAAAATGCCAATATGTGAATTATGCTGAAAAGTGAAAAAAAGCATGACTTCTACAATAATGGACCGATCATGCTGATTTTCGAACTTGACCTGCATTTTATGAATATTCATCAGCTCTGTAAATATAAAGCCCAAAAGTAAAACTGCCTTCCACTTATCGTGTTTACAATGAAAGTGCAAGGCGCCGGTGACGGCGCTGATGGCAAAGACAGACGCAGGTGATGGCAATATGTACAGACACATTTTTGACACATCTGTACATATTTACTGTACTGTTTGAGAACAGTAAGTGACATGGTTTTTCTTAAATTGTCATCATGGGAGCAGTGCCCAAAATAGGTTTTTTTCAAATTTTGATGCAATATTACATAATGTTTAACAGCATAATGACCATCAAATTTTAATAATAAAGTATTAGTATCATGGATATTCAGAAAATGTGACTAGCAAAGGTCTTCAGGCCCATGGAACTTCAAAGTCACAACTTGAAAATGCCAAAATGTAAACAAGACAGCACTGTTCTGAAATGTTTTTTTCCCATTTTTAACAATTTTTAACATAAAACAAAATTAACAGTTTACTGCCATTTTTATATGATCAACTAAGAAAATTGATGAGATGGGAAAAATATCAATAAAGCAGTGTTAAATGTCCAATTTCTTCCATTCTGAGATTCTGAACATAGTGAATGATTGAATCTGACAAACTGCAATGATATGAGTTTATTTCCATTTTTGAAACTTTATTACACAATACATGATAACAAGTTTACCATCATTTTTACAAAAGCAACTAACAATGTTGTAAAGATGCAGGAAATGTCAAACAAAAACTTTTACGTATCTTATTAGTTTAATATTGAGACTGTTAACATGCCTAAGAATTGAATCTGAGGAAATGTGAAAAATATGCTGAAAAGTGAAAAAACAGCATAACGTCTACAATAATGGCCCGATCATGCTGATTTTCGAACTTGACCTGCGTTTTATGAATATTCACCAGCTCTGTAAATATAAAGCCAAAAAGTAAAACTGCCCTCCACTTATTGTGTTTACAAGGAAAGTGCACGGCATCGGCATCGGCATCGGCATCGGCGACGACAGACGCAGGTGATGGCAATATGTACAGACACATCTGTGTCTGTACATAAAAATGGGACAGATATGGACTTAAGAAGTTCAGGCTTGTCTATAATAAATCTGATCATTGATTCTCAAATTAATCCATCCTTATATTAAATCCTTAAATTAATCAACCACTAAATCTTATGCTCACCCTCTTGTTTTTATTGAAAACCATGTGGCTGATGACTCCTCTGTGAGCAATCTTCCGACTGTGATGGACTCCATGACTGACCTCTACCTCCTTGATATCTGCCTTGTTTAGAGCCTCTATGGTAGGTCGAATGGACATTCGCAACATGTGCCATAGGTACTTAGCTTTGCTTTGTCCTGTTTCTTCTTCCAGTTTCTTGCGTTCCCTTTCTCGTTTCCTACGTCGCAGCACATCCAGTGGATCCTGCGACTCATCAGATTTGACACTCATCTCGTTCTATTATTTTGTCTTCAAGGCTATTTCTGTGCCTTGTACTGCATTACTAGTTTCTTATTTTTCATTCATCCTGAAAAAGTTATAACATTTGGTTATTTTTAGTCACAAGGAAGTTTTCTGTACAATCAGCAGGCCCCTAGCCAGCAATTGCAAAAGGGCAGTTCTTTTTCTGTAAATGTGGACCTTTTGTCAAGAAACCTTAGTTTTCTTACATCAAATTTACCTAGAGTGAGCCTTTTCCCAGCAAAAAGGGGGGATTCTTTTGAACCCTCCACCCCCCCTAACCCCCCTAGCTACGGACCTGATCAGCCCTGACTGATTAAAAAGCTAAAGGACTGGCAAGATTAATGTTCAAGTTGGCTTTCTGGACAAACAAAGATTATGGGAAAAGATGAAACTTAAACAATGATCAGATTAAAGACAGTTATGGTTATATAGCCAACAAGCCACCACACAGTCTTTTTTATGGCAAATTTGCTGATTAGACAGATGGTTTTATCACCAATGCAGAACATTGCATTCATTATTATTGTAACAAGACTGAAAATTTGTATTCCATGAGGAAATTTAATAATGTAATACAGTGATTCCTTTGGCAAAAAAAATTTAAAATTTTAATTAAAATTAAGGTACATTCTGGTTTTATTTTGCCTTAGCCTAGGACTGCAGCAAGTAGATGGCACTAAATAAATGAAGGGAATATATTTTGCAGTATGAAATCAATTACAAAATGAAATACAGTGTAGTAGCAGAAAACAGTTATAATTGCCATGATCAAGTGCAACCTAAGCAAGTGTCAGTTTATTCTAAATTGGAATTTACTCTGGAACTTTGTAAGTACAATGTTATGTAAGGAAAGAAATAAGAGGAATACTATAAAAAATGCCAATATGTACAATCTTTTACTAACCCACACATTACAAGTAAGTCTTTTTGGGTATTTAAAACAGTTTTAAGTCCTTTGTTTTTTTCCATCAATGATGATTACCTTATTATTTGAATTGGAATCCCCTCCATTTAAATGGATAAACTGAGCCTATCAAATAAGTTAAAATACTGTTTAAATATCTAAAATCATTGGAAAGTAGATGATAAGTCATTATAATCATCACTGAATGCTGTCAATTCACTGTTATTTACAGAACCTACAAAACAAAGTTAATGAAACTTATACATATTTTCAAATGCAGTCATCAGCTGATCGAGGTCAACACATCACTGGAAAGGGGTCAACATTTGCAACTTTTTTTCTACATGTTGCTATTCCTTTGGCAGCCTCTCTATACTTTTTGATACATAGTGTACAGCCTATCATTTCAAAGCTTTTGAAAGGGACTTTTTAATGATGTACAAGACATGAAATATATACAACAAATGTATGGAATAGAACCAAAAGAAACTGGGTCAAAGAATTGCTGATAAAATGGCGACTTTCAGATACACCTTCATGACAAAATATCACAGGATTTTTGTTAACAACATGATAACATCAAACATTATACATCAGTTGAAAGACAATTTTCTTCAGAAAAAAATCGCATCTATTAAAATTGGTGTTCTGGTATAATTTTAATTTATTCACTGACTAAACATGTATCTTCATCCTAAAAAAAAGTCGAACATTTAGTTTCTGAAATTCAACTGTCATTCAATTAAATAATCTTGAGTAAGAACTGAAGTGCTTTATATCGCCAAAAAGCTCATTTACTCAGCTTTCTCATAACATCAATAGTTCTTTCGTGTTCTTTTAAAAATATACGTGTTCGTTTTAATAAAAAAATTCGGACACCCTACCAAACTGCCAAGTTGCGATTATGCAATCAACAGAAATGTATTATTCTCATCTAATTTGTTAACTTTAGACCGTATTCACATCGAGTTGAGCCATGGCTCTACAAAGCCACGAACTAAATATGGTGGATGTACATGAAAGGAAAAACGCCTAATCTTTTAATAGTCTCTCCGCCTCTGACACGCCTCCCCATTCGTCGTCCCTGCGGGGGTACAATCATTAAATCTCGGCTCCATTGGACTTACGTGAAAAGTTACAAGAATTTGTAAGTTACAACCTTTCGAGAATATGGCCCCAGGTTGGAAATAAATTTTGACCTCTATCTCACAAACAGAAGTTTGTTACTGGCAGTTTTCAACAAGAGTATGGTTAATGACATAACTGTGATATGAGCAGAGGAATCTTACCTTATCCATAGTGAAGTTAACTGCAAAATTGGTTTCGATTTTTTAACAGTATGAGGAGCTTGGGCATGGGGGTTGGGCAGGGAGCTCCTACATGTACACTGAGGCAGATGTGTTAGCTGAATGTCATTTTACAGTTATTTATACCATATTATAATTACTCATGCATTTCTTAATGGCTACACATCAATATCAAAAAACGTAATTTGTCAACGACTTCTGAACATATCATAATCATCAATAGGAGTGCTAACGCATGAATTTTCGTGCTATTGAGCAGACTTAAAATTGCAATCCTGTAAGATAGTGTTTAAAGAAACCCATTGAACAGTTAGCTTTCTCAGTTATTTTGCAAGTTTTGATGGGGATATGTTGGTGCTACCTTAATGTGCATCATTTCCAACAATTCCACCAGTAACAGATAAATAGTAATGATTTATCTGACCTGAATTTTTGTACCTCCATCCGAGTGATCCTCCATGTTGTTTACGAATGTCATGGAATCATACCGCGAGAAATTACGAGATATTCAATATAAGTAATCTGTTTCTTAAAAGTAAACTAAAAAGAGAAGTGTGCTTTCAAAATAAGTAGATATGTGATGATTCTTTCTACGAAAATTGATATTGTTGAAACTCTGCACATTCAGATTAAATTTAGCCCTAATTAAATCTTTAGCTCTTCGTGGTAAACATTTTGCGTGCCATCTAGCGGTGACTTATTCTCCATACCAATAGGTCTACTTCTATGTATGTTCATCCTAAGCGAAGGTGAGTAAGGGGTCATTTTTTTATATATGTATTTTTGCTCGATTGTAAATTAAGGCCCGTGGTGAACTTCAGCTAGTCACTAAAGTCGATATATTCCCTGTATGCTTTTACCCTTATACTAGTATCCCTCTCGAAATATTTTTAATTTGCTAAAACTCAATTATTTCCAAGAAGTGAGGCCATGAAGATGGTTATAGCTTGTGTTGTAGCTAAAATGCCCGGGCTCTACTTATTAAATGTTATCTCTCGTGTGAAACATAACTGCATTGTTGACTGGATCCACTAGATATTGAATGAATTACTATTGGTGTTAATATGATTTGTTATTTGTCAAGGGTAGAACATATTTTTTTTCCTTTTTGCTGTAGTGTAGTTGTCAGCTTTCCTATGCATGCTAAATTATTTATTTTATTGATTGGTGCATTATATGAGAAGGTGTTTGATCAACAACCTCTATTGTTGGTGATAACGAAACTGATTCTATCAGCTCTGATGTTTAATATTTATAAGTCATCTTATAATTGTTCAGCAACTGGCAGCTAAGATTGTCTGTTAACTAATTGATTATTGCATTTGAATTCTCGTCAAAGCTTGGTCTTCACAGAATTTTGACTGGATGATAATTGATTGCTCTCCCTCCCTCCCTTGTCTTCAGGAATTGTACTGAAAAGATTTGATTTACAGAATCTGAGGTAGAATGTATATATTTTGTGAAGAGGTGCAAGATGTTTCTCTTAAGTCTGAGAAAAGGGTATATATATGTATATATGTATATATGTGATTTCTTTGTTGTTAAAACTCATTCCCTTCTTTGGTCATACACACAATGCAATCAATTGCACATGCATACACATACTCATATACACACATACATACATACACATACTCATATACACATACTCATATACACACATACATACATACACATACTCATATACACATACATGCATACACATTTGCAAAGCACATGTATGTAGGTGGGCCACCAACTTCAACAAATTTTATTTGTTTTTTTCTATATAGCAATATTGTAGCTCTGGAAAGATAAAACATGAATCATATTAGTGCAATTTCCAGTATGGCACCAAAGTAAAGAGAGAGATTTTCAGTGTAAAATTATAAGTAATACAGGTAATGTAAATGAAAAAGATTTTTATGATCTTGTGCCTCAGATTTGTATTGCGAACTATTACTTAATGACTAAAACAAATTAATGTAAAAGTATTGGACGTGATGCAATCCAGGAACCATTGATCCACTTACCTACCCATGCAATATGTTCTGAACCTGCCAGAGATTGTCGTGAGCAAATTGAAAAATTGGGTTTGAGAAAAAGAACTCAATATATAAACAGCAATAGACCCAGATAAAAGCTGGCCATTATGTGATGCTCACAACCACTTTTTTATGCTTGCATCATGCAGTCAAGGTTTGGTGTCAATGATCACAGTTCTGTGGCTCAATATCACAAATGGCAATAATAATTTATGAGGCCTGTAGTCAAGGGTGGATCCAGGATTTCCTAGAAGGGGGCTCATTTTTATTGACATCACTTCATCCATGTGAAATTCACCAAACACTTTTATACAGATACCAATTCCATGTCAAAACAATGACAGTAGGCCTAACTGTCTTTGTAAAAAAAAAAAAATGAATTAATACTTAACTGTGTTGCCTAAAAGAATCCCATGTTGGCAGCTCAAACACCCTTGTTTGGTTATAAGAACTAATTTCAGTCATGAAACCAACAAGAATTAAGATGATATATTTCTTGTTAAGAGGTGTTAAATTCATATTTCTATGCTTCTAGGTATTTTTCATCATTTTGAAGTGGCTGAAGTGAACATGGTTTGCTGATTTTTTTAGTCTATTAGAGTGTCAGAAATAAACTTTTGTTGGTCTATGAACCTTTGAAAGTTGGGAAACAACTTGATTGATAGCAAAGACGATCTTAAATAAGAGGCAATAGCAAAAGATTCACTTAGGCCGTTAGGAGGATCTACCACTAATTAACATTGGTAGACTCAGGTTAATTGTACCACCAGCGTTAGCGCTGGCGGTACACATGGTTTTAGTCCCGTCCGGATCGTTCCGCCGGCTCCTGCGGCTCCGCCGGACGGCTACCGTTACCGCTTCTTCTCCTAGACGGTAAGGGCCCCCGTACCCATCTCTTGGATTTAGGTCACCTATAATCTCAACTCGTGCCACGTAAAATTTGGGCTTTATCGGTATTGGGGTCTAGGTGTGGCACTCATTGCAATGTACCCTTGTCTAAAAATGGCAAAATTAAATGCTAATTATCTACCCTACGGAAGGAATTATGGGAAAAATTTCTACAGACGGCTTCCAAAAGTCATATGTGTAGATTTCAAATATGCCATTGGATTTGACCTTTGACCTTTATTTCAAGGTCAAACGGGCCAAAATTTTCAAAAAAATGAATTTTTTTACGAAAAAAAAATTATTTGCCCTGTTATTCAGACACCACACAGATTTAACCAATAATATTATTGGAAAGTGTTACCCTTCAGGTCATCTTTCATCTCCGTGAATTTGGGGTCAATCGATGCATTTTCACGGGAGTAGCGGCCATAAGATACCGAAACTGAAAACTGTCTCTAATTCGGGAACC